AAATTTTCATTTTCAGCCAAATATTCGTCTACATGCACTCGGTGCCCTCTTCCCTTATCTTGAAAAACTTTTGTTTTTCTTCAGTGTTTTATTGTTTTTTTTGCTCATCAATTCTCAAAAATTTAGTCAACTTTAACAAAAATATTCTAATCGGCTTTCTGAATCATCGACGCCCCCTAATTTTGGCAGTCTCGGACCACTCCTTCTGCAGATATTCAGAATATTTTCTAAGTCCAAGTAAATTTCTATACGTGATTATAAAAATATGTTTTTTCAAACACATGCTTTTGTCATGGAATTTCTATTTGATAAGTAGACATGAATTCGAAAATTTTTATATCAAATGAATATGAATCAACGAAAGTTTTTTTTTTTCATATGATATATTGGTAGTTTTAGTAACGATTAACTTAATAAATCTTCTGAGCGAAAATCTCTAATTGAGAATCTACGTTTTCAATCAGCTTTATACCAATTTGTAGAGTACGATGAGCTGATTATGATAGCATAAAATGCTTTTAATTTTTATGTTAGTTTAGTTCTCAGCATTGATAACTTTAAAAGCGGATATACCTTCATTGACTGTACACAATGAGCATAAATAACGGGTGCATCAGAATAAATGTCTCGGTCAAAGTTTATTGCCATGTTTTAATCCATTTTTGTCTTTTTAAAAAGATTCGCAATAAAATTCTCCACAAGAACGTATTACAAATTTTGCCAGATTTCTTTGCATTACTGTCGGTATAGTATCCATTATACCGAATGGTTTACTAGCGGCTTTTGACAGGTTTGAATCATATGGAATACTAGTTTGTTCGGATCTATTTATTGGAAATGTGTATTAACAAAAAACAATCGATAGCACTTGAAAAGCTCTATCTTTTAGTCATACTAATAAAATTTTTGTATCAATATCAGAAAAATTTGCATAATTTGAATAATGAAAACAATGAGTCAATATAACTCTGATTTATTTCAATTCTAAGATAAATAAATGATGCATCAGACTAAAATGTTTGAAATTGAATAGAGCTCTTTGTTTGGATATATTTTATAAAACAAAAAAAAAGGAAAGTTTTATACATTTTCGGCCAAACTTTATATTCCTACACATACTCTATCGTGTTATTCTATTTGTATAAAGTTATAGAAAAACTGATGAAATGTTTAGGAAAACAATTTTTGAAAGTTGAACGATTTTATTTATCTATTTAGAATATATATATTAAATCAAGGCTTTAATTAAATTGTATTAAAGTATAGATGTAGTTCGGACTTCTATTCATGTTCATTTTATAGATGTATTCAATCAATGAAGATACATTTGCTATTAAAGCTTTCAATGTTAAGAACTAAACTCAGATAAAAATTAAAATTTCGTAGTAGTTTTTCTAAAGTTAAGATCAATCTAACTCGTCAAAGATATTGCACAAAGAAGGAATCCATTAAGCTATCATGATTAGCTCATCGAATTCTACAAACTGACATAAAACTAATGGAAAATAGAGATTTACACTAAACGATCTTTCCTCATCAGTTTAATTTTAATCACGAAACTATGATTAAACGATACATAGAACTCAATCATCTAAATGAAAAATAGATCCTAGACTTGAAAAAATTTTTTTCATAACTTACATGTCTACGATTATAAGCAGAAAATTTCGATGTATGACAATGCATACATGTATCAGCTTTATCATCTGGTACCCAATGTGCAGCAACAGCACTATTAGGTGTATTATTTCCACCTTAATAAATCAAAAATAGAAATAATTATTTAAGAAATAAAAAAAAAAAAAAAAAGAAAAATTTTCTATACCAGATGCATAACGAATACAACGTTCAAGATGTGCAAGCCATTCTTGTCGTTCACGATCTGAATTAGCTCGAACAATAAAAGATTTTTTCGGACTTTTAATTAACCATGCATATGGATTTTCTTTTTTAAATAAAAATCAAAAATATTAGAATTAAATATATTATTTATTTACCAGCAGAATCCATTGGTGCACTAATTTGTATTTCATTAAGTGGAATTATTTTTTGTTGTGAATACTAAATAATATAATATTTCCAAAAAAAAAAAATGTATGTATTTTATCTAATAAATCTTATTCTTCTTCTTACCTTCCGTCCACTGATAACAACTTGTCCATAGACAAGTATATCATTGAATAAAAAGAAAGCTCGTTGTTTAGGTTTTTTTCGACATACTTTCATTAAAATACCTTCACCAACTAATGCTCGACCTTCTTTTTGTAAATTCTAAAGATAAATTTTTTTAAGAATAAAATTTCAATAAAAAAAAAAAATAAAATTCGAACTTGACTATTAACAAATTTATCTTGTACATTTTTAATTCTCTTAGCATTTTCTGATGATCGGCCTTAAATTAAAAAAAAAAATTATTTTTATTTTATTTTATCAATAATTATTTTAACATACTAAGTTGAGCTAGACCATCTTCTTTTATCGATGGTGATCGACCCATACCATTTGAATTAGCAGAAGTCATTTTTCTAAAATTATAAAATTTCTTCAATATTTTCAATTAAGATATCCTGGGAAAGACTATAGACAAAAGAATGTAAAAAAAAAACAAAACATGCATGAAACATATACACGTTTACGTCTACCCTATTCGAAGTTATATTCGTTCTTCTTTCCCGAAAAAGGTGTACATCTATTGGATTAGACAATTTTATTGCCAATCAGAACAAAGTATAAAAACCTTACTCTCAACTATATATTTGCAGCGCTTTTATATATGATAACTAATATCAATATATGATTCATTCTAAAGAAAGAAAATTTTTATTCAATGAATCGTCTATTTATTTATTTATTTATTTGGATTTTTTCTCTTGGTTGACAAATGACATATGGCTGTAAATTAGAAGATATAAGATTATAAGCCAGCAGTAGAACCATTATTGTGACATTTAAGATACATTCATTGTATCAAAAGAAATAGTTATTGACTGTCGAGGTATGTATTCTCTCTATAGTACAATATAAACCGTACTGTTTATTTTTTCTTTCAATTCCTTGATAATTTTAATCGTTTATTATAGATATGAATCCTGAAAATTCTCCAACAGCTTCTTCAAATATTAACCGTAAACCTAAAATTGCTTTAATTACAGGCATTACTGGACAAGTAATTATTATGAAAAAAAAAATTTCTTTTTTTTTGCATTAAAATTATTTGATTTTTATTCATTTAGGATGGAAGCTATCTGACAGAATTTCTTCTTGCTAAAGGCTACGAAGTCCATGGTATTATTCGACGTTCAAGTAGTTTTAATACAGGACGAATAAATCATCTTTATGCAAATCCATCATTACATAAAGAAGGAGGTACGTATTCATTTTTTTTTTTTTTTTTATCTTTTCAATATGAAATATTCAATATAGCTATGAAATTACATTATGGTGATTTAAATGATAGTTCATCATTAGTAAAAATAATTGCTAGTGTTAAACCAACAGAAATATATAATTTAGGTGCAATGAGTCATGTTAAAGTAAAGATTTAATTTGAATTATTTTTTGAAATAATAGAACATTTTATTTTATTTTTTTTGTTTTTATCACGTAGATTTCCTTTGATTTAAGTGAATATACAGCTGATGTTGATGCTGTTGGTACATTACGTCTTTTAGATGCTATTCGAACATGTGGCCTTGAAAAAGATGTACGTTTTTATCAAGCATCAACATCAGAACTTTATGGTAAAGTTCAAGAAATTCCACAAAGTGAAACAACACCATTCTATCCACGATCACCATATGGTTTGTTTATATCTTTTTTCGTTATTATTATTCGAAGAAAAAAAAAAGCAACGATAATTTATTTTTATATTTATAGCTGCTGCAAAATTGTATGCATATTGGATAACAATTAATTATCGTGAAGCCTATAATATGTTTGCTGTCAATGGAATTCTTTTTAATCATGAATCTCCACGACGAGGTATAAATAAACAAAAAAAAGGAAAACATATTTATTTTGACTAATTTACTGTCAAGGTGATAATTTTGTAACAAGAAAAATTACTCGATCGGTTGCAAAAGTTCATCTTAAACAACAAGAAGTACTTGAACTTGGTTCATTAGATTCAAAACGTGATTGGGGACATGCACGAGATTATATTGAAGCTATGTGGCTTATGTTACAACATGATACACCTGAAGATTTTGTTATTGCAACTGGTAAAAATATTTTGATAGAGATATTATGAGAAAGAGGTTTTCTTTTTTCAGGTGAAGCACATAGTGTTCGAGAATTTGTTGACGCAGCATTTCAAGAAATAGGAAAACGAATTATGTAAAAAATTAATTAAATTGATAAACAAAAAAAAAAAATTTAAAATTTTTGTATTAGATGGGAAGGTGAAGGTATTAATGAGATTGGAAAAGAAGAAGATACTGGCATTGTTCGTGTTATTGTTAATCCAAAATATTTTCGACCAACTGAAGTTGTAAGTTTGAATGAAAATTATCTTTTTAAATAAGAAGAAAAATTGAATATCTAATTTATTTTTTTTTATAAAGGATCTTTTAATTGGTAATCCAAAAAAAGCTGAAGAAAAACTTAAATGGAAACCTAAAACTACATTTAAAGTATGACTATTGATTATTATTGATTAATTTATATTTTAAAATCTTGATTATTAGGAATTAGTTAAAGAAATGGTTGCATCTGATATTGAACTTATGCGAAAAGATCCAACAGCTTAAATTTTTATTTTATTCATGTTTAACAAAACAAAAAAACAAAACACTTTATCATTCATAATCACTTCCAAAACTAACGTTTGTTTTTTTTTATTCGATAAATTTATCTGTTTTATAAATCTCATTCGATTTGATTTTGTTCGTTTTGTTAATTATATAATACAAAAAAAAAAAGAAACGCACACTAACATTTTATATCATTTTGAATTAATACAAATATTTTCATGATAAATACACACAACAAAACATAGTTTATTATTTATATTCAGTAATAATATGAGGTGTTTTTTTATTGATTGTTGATATATTTCTTATTTTATTCGGAGAAGTATCTTCTTCCATATCTTCTATAACAGTTGATTTTCTTTTATGTCGATAGTTAGCATTGCCTTTAAGATACAATCCATTAGCTAATGTAATAATAAAATCTTTTTGAAATAATTTATCACGCCAATGTTTTGGAATTCCTTCAATACCATAATATGCACCAGCCAATTGTCCGTAGATAGCACCTGTTGTATCAGTATCATCACCTAAATTTACAGCTAAAAGAACACCTTTTTCAAAAGAATCTTCATCATTATAAAATGCCCATAAAGCAGCTTCAAGTGAATTTAATATAAAACCTGTACCACGAATACCATCTTTATATCCATTTTTTTTATTTTTATATGAACCATTAATAATTGTCATAAGATCTTGATCAAAATCTTTCTTAAAATGTTGACGATAGAATTTCGAAGATAAAAGTTCATCTTTAGTTTTACCATTTATAGCATTCCAAATAAGTGCAGAATAAAATTGACAAGTATCAATTGCTTTTTTATCACCATGTGTAAGTTTTACACTATTAGCAGCATTTTGAATAGCATCCGATTCTGATCGATAATAAAATAAAGGTATTGGTGCTAAACGCATAAGTGGTCCATTACCAGCAGCATTTTTTGTACCACATTCTACATTAAAATTAACTTGAGAAAGTTTTTCTCCAATTTGTTTGTCCAAAGAATCGTCTGGTATAATTATACCTAATTTTTTTTGTAATATTTGAGCACTTTGACGTTGACGATTTTCAAATTCATTTATAGCTTGACGTGTTGCAGCTCCAATATCAAAACATGTACCTGTCGAAGACATATATCCTTTTCTATGCCACCCTTTATATCGTAATAATTGATCATAACCATCAAAACTTCCTTTACTAATAAGACTAGCAGCTAGACAAAGTGCCATTGATGCATCATCAGTCCATTGACCAGCTTGTAAACCCCATGTACCACCATCTTGCATATCTGATACAGGATTATGTAACAAAAAGGAATTTGGACGAAATTCAACCGGTGCTCCGAGAGCATCACCAATAGCAAGACCAACAAGAGAACCTTGTATTCTTGAAAGTAAGTCATTTTTATAATTTAATTCTGATAATTCAACATCTTGAAGACGACTGAATTCTTGATATGGTTGAGATTCATTGAGTAATTCAATTAGTGTAAGAGACTTTTTATTTTGTGGTTTATTGATGTTAAATAAATTTCCTGTTACTATGATTTTTGAGAGCGAATTTGAAATTAATGACGACATATTGATCAATAATGATGATATGTCAATTGTTATAAATATGTAAATACGTACCTGATTAACAACCCACACAGAATATTACCCTGTAAATATACATTTGCTTTTTTCTTTAGTCGTCATATTAAACCAATGAAATTTTCTCTGATAATACAGGGAAAAAACGAAAGGAAAAAAAACATGACAAGGAGCGACAAATCAATGAATGACTAAGTTATTATATTCTTTACGAGAGATCCCCTCAGAAAATCCAATTTTTCGGAGACGAGTCGAGATTGAAGTTTTATCATGAGAAGATGCACCGAAGTCTCCTCTTTCAGAATATCTATGGTTTATCAAAAAATGAATTGATTTTGACGAACTTATCGTCTAAAACTTGGCTCCTACTATCATATTTTACGAGAAATTTTCACGGATTTTTTAAGCTTTTTCGAATTTTTAGGCTGCTTTCTCTTTGCATCAGTATTTCGTAAAGTTTTTTTCTATAGTAATCATTAAGAGACTATGGATACTTAATATTAAGATCACAAATTTATAGCCTGTCTTGAACATTGATATATATAAATCAGGTGATTTTCGGAGAAATCGATTTCTAATACTTGTTTTACCTTTTTCTCAAAATCAATTTTTTCGAGCATACCGTTTACGTGGGCAAGGATTTTTCAATAACGACTCAATAGATAAGGGATAATTATTTTTGTTGAATAGAGGACAGTTAGGGCTAGGTCATAATAGAGTCCGATTTTTGAATTTCTCTTTCTCTGGAATAAAAAGCTTAGATATTTCATTTTTGTTAGCAATTTTTTTGGACACGAATTCGTGAATTTTGAGAAAAAGCTTTTTTAAAAATCAAACAAAGAGAAATTCAAAAATCAGGCTCTATTACGACCTAGCTTTAAGGGCATTCTACAACTTGAAAACCACTCGAACTTGTTAGCTCGTATCCTTATTATGAAATCCTTGCCCGCGTAAAGGGTGATGAATTGACTAGAACTTGTGCATTTCTTTGAGATTTGGGAGAGATATTTTAAGCATAAGCTATTCTAGTTAAGATTAGCATTTCCTAAAATTTTGGTTGAAATCAGATGAAAAACAACAAAGTTCGTTTCTGAGGAGGCTCCCCTTAAATCAATTATATACGTCTCACAATACTTTCAAAAACAAAATCAAATACGTATGAGGGAACGCTCTCAATTATCGGACGCTGTTTGGCTCCATAATTTGGGTACGACTAAGTCTCTATGAACCTTAGAAAATTCTAAAAGGGTTTGTCCCCATGGTGTTTCCTGACCGAAATTTGAAATGCCTCGTATGTCACGAAAAATTAATTTTTTATTTTTTTCTTCGTTATACTGACGGTTAGAAACTTGAAATTCTTAACATATATCAAAAAATTGATTTTTCTTGATATACAAAGCATTTCAAATTTCAGTCCAGGAAGGTCATTGGGACGAACTCTTTTAGATTTTTCATAGTTTTATAGAGACCTACTCGTAGCCAAAACAAATATGGAGTCAAATGGTTTCTGATAGTTGGGGACATTCCCTCGTTAGTAGGACGATGATATTAACCCTTTGACTATTGCCAACGCATATATGTGTCATGAACTTAAATCAGTGTCTAAAATTAATGCAATCAATCGCAGTGGATATTTTTTAGATTCATTTGTATAGAAATAAGCATCTTGAAGCTGAAATTTGTGATACTATCATTTCATATTAGTATATTCTAGAGTCGTGTCTGTCTTAAAAGAAGGATTGTATATAAGGAATAGTCGGTTTGTTTTACATATAGTTATCTTTTGTTCTCTTTCTTCTTAGTCAAGGACTCATTGCAACGTGTGGCTTCAAGAGATCATATGTAAGCAGACCATCGATTACTCATCCATTGCAATTGACAGCCAGAGCATTTTCCGTCTCTAATTCCTTCAAACGAAAGTAGCCAGATTCTTTGAAGATGTTATGTTTACAGCAATACTGAACGACATGTGAAGGAACGGAGCACTACATGCTACCAGTGTACCGAATGCGATGTTGAGCTGTGCATTATCAACTGTTTCAAAGACTTTCATATCTTACAGAAGATTTAGTGTTGTCTCGTATAAATCTGTAAAATTTGATCAAAAATAAATGATGTTAAGTGATAAATAAAAGTTAATCATAAAAATTCATTTCACTAATATCAAAATGTCATTTTATTAAATGATCATTCTTAAGTCTTTCTTTTTCATTTTCTTATAATTCTTCATTTTAATTATAATGTTAAATAATCAAATAAATTCTTTGTTCATCTATCTATATGAATGAATTTGTTTATTAGTAGAATCTGTCATCATATCAAATATAGATTTTAATACGTATTCTATTAATTAGAAAATATCATTAAATGATTTAAGTTAGGATCACCTATTGAAATAGAACATTGGCCTCTTCGGTAGGCCAATAGTATATCAGATCGAATAGGTATTTAATTAATTTTTGGAAGGTAGTTGATTCAATAGGAGCAACGTTCATCAATATTTATCACACAGCACATCATTAAGATATATATTTCTCGTGGATTGAAAAAAAAAACAATTATAAACAAGAGATCCTTTTTTCAAAATAATTTCATAGTTATCTCTTTTGTAAACTGTATATCTCGGAGACAGAACAATAATAAAAAATATTTTTTTATAACAATTAATAGCTTAGAAAATTCTCTGCAAACAAAGTGAAGAGTAAAGGATTGACTAAGGAAATGACTCTATTAATTGAAAAATTACTAAATCTGTTGTATTGTCATGAATATCCTTGATTGTATAAATAAATTGATATACTGCATATTTTCGGCTTCCAAAGATTCAGATCATGGTTTGATTCAAAAAATTTTAAGTAATAATAGAGTCAACTTTATATTTAAAGTTTGACAATACATTTTAGTCTACAAGGACAGAGTGCATTGACATTAAACAAGAGTCTTAAAAATAAAAATATTCACATTTCATCAGTATATGTTTAGAATTTTTCGTACAATATTTAGTGGAAAGACCAGATGCTTCGACTGTCTTTATTCAAATTGAAGTTACAGCGCTATTTTATTATGAATGCTTCAAACTTTTGCTTAGTTTTGAAATAATCATGAATGAATGGAAGTAATGATTAATGGCTGTTATTCATCAGAGAGGCTTACTAAATATTGAAATCGTACTTTAACAGCCGTTGTTGACATCCCTTGACGACATTCTCGATTCCAAAATTTTTCTTTTCTTGTGCAAACATTTATTCAAGAGACTCTCTAAACGACCTCTTGATTACTTCTGCTCACGAAATAAGTGACGACTATCGAAGCATCGTGCTAGTAGATCCGTCATTAATATCATACATGCTGTTTGTTTCAATAATCTATTCGAATAATCAATATCATACATAGAAGAATATAATTCTGTCTATTGAGGTAATAAAATAAATATGTAAATATATACGTCAAAAAAAAAAAGACGAATGTAACAATGATCGAAGTGTTTTTTTCTAACGTGTGCTAATTGTCCAATTCTCATCGTATTTTCATCATAAATTGTATTATCATCATCATCTACTTTGTCAACCATCATTTGCATAGAATTTTCAATAATTCTATCTCTCTTAATTTCATTTCGAGAATGATTTGATGAATTATAAATATAACTATTAGCTTAAATTTTGTCAATTTTCAATTTCGAATAATTTCGAATCGTACAATCACTATCAATACTACGAGGTATATTGAAAAAAAAAAGAGGTTTAAAATAGTTAAAAAATATGTTTGTATATATATTTAAGTAATTGAAAAATATTTCTATTAGAAAAATAAAATTTCTTTGAAGAGAAAAACTCGACATACTATTATGACAATATCAAAACCGTTCTTTAACTTCTTCATCGAAATCATTATTTACGAAGTCTGTTATAGTAACATTCATTGCAATGAGAAATTGATCGTTGATTAAAATTAATGTCTACGCGAGCCTTAAAATGTAGTCGATTAAAAATTCAATAAGTTGAGATCTCAAGTAGCTAGCGATTTAGGGGCTCCATCGTTTGAAAGAAATGGTATGGGTGCGAAGTGTAGAAGAATGTGGATATGGATTTTATCTTCAGGCAAAATTACATCTACATCCACACTTACATCCAATTTTGTGTACTTGACAAATTGGAAAAAGAGAAAAAACCAAGTTGGAAAGAACGCAAAAAACATACATCATGAAATATTGCGCAGATATACCGTAAAGATAGGCGTTTTACAAAAATATTTTTGTCGATCGTCATGAGTACGTTCTTCCTTGTGTTAATAGAAATCTTCTACAAAAATCTTCCAACTTAAACACTTCTATGGTGTCAATATAAAAAAAACTATTTCAACGTAAGGATAATTTTTTTTTTCGTTTTCAGATCATTGAAATAAACTTTCGAGTGACTCGGAAAAATAAATCACAGGCATGTCATCTCATGAAATCATCATTATTTGGCTCGATTCTAACATTGGTGTACCGGGCGAATATATACATCTCAAACAAGCTTTTTCTACTAATATTGATCCAATGTATGCATATCCAAGAAATCTAAATAATCGAGATCCTTTTATATTTGACTTGAATGAAAATGATTCAATATGCAAATATCAATTTCAAAATCGTTGTAAATTACAATTCTTTACTGATGAAGAACAATGTTTTACATATGTAAATAAATGTTTTAATGCAAATAAACAAATATTTTTAATTCTACCTGATTCTATTCGAAAAGATTTTTTTCTTCGTATTTATGAGCAACATTCAAAAGAATTTGAAAAGACAAAAAATGAAATATCAATAAGATTTTATTTATTTACCTTTAGCGATGTAATTCAAGAATGGTTATATGATTATGAAGATTATTTTCGAGTTTATTATCATGAAGCTGATCTTTTGTATGCATTAATACGAGATATAGCTATCTATTATATGATGATTGGAGAAAAATTATTGAATGAAAATTTACTCAATGATACTCATCGAGCACTAATTTATCTTCATTGGGCTAATACACTTATTCATCGTGGAAATTCTATTTCGTCTTATAAAGAAATTCAACTTCAAAATTATTTAATAAATATGATTAATAAATGTGAAAATAGAATTTATTCTATCGAAAATGTTGATTATTTACAGTGTGATTTAATAAATAAATTAATTCAAAATATTATTATTTACGATTCAACAGAATCTTTTGATCAAGGATTAAAATTAAAGACAATATTCAATCAAATAAATGATAAAAATTCCTTATTATTCAACAATTTAGAAGATTTTTTTCTTAATTTTCAATCAACAAGTTACAATAATCAACGTCATTGTGTAATTATAATAATTTCAAATATTGATAAACAAACAAATACTTTCGAAGCATTATCATCAATACAATCAATCGAACATATCTATGTTTTACATTTAAATGGAAATAAATTTATTGAACAAAACAATTATCGAACACTATTGAAAAAGTTTCCAACAATTCGAAATATTTCTACAAATATAAAAACACTTCTACTAGGATGGATAGTTGAACATTCAACAGAATGCGAACAAATTGGAGATTATTTTAAAGAAAATGAAGATTCAAATCTAGCCGATTTGTACTATGCAAAATCCATAAAACTAAATGCATGTTTATCTATTTTTACTAACAAGAATTAATATGGTGTATTCACTATTGCTTGTCATATAAATGAGATGAAAGGAATCGAACATCCCTGTTAAAATGAAAACTCACATGATTATACAGAATAGCTCATCGTTCGTCGAGTTGCATAAACAAACTAATATTTTGAGAATCTATATACGACTTGATGAAAAATTCGTACCGGACTGATTTTTACACCATCGATTTATACAGATTTTCTTTAAAACTTATTGCTATGGAACATTACTTGCTTTAAGATCAGGTATCTCTGATTATTCTCATTTCAACAAAATGTAATCCTTTCTGTCGTATTTTCTTCATTTTTCGATATTGTGATGTTTCAGTGCAAACAAACATATGGCTTAAAAATTAGTATTATCAACGATCAAGTTTCCTAGGAACTAAGGTTGATGCTGCTTCATCTTAGTTTGACATATGTTGGGTTCTAAACAGAAGTCATGATCATAGAACTACTTATTCTTTTATGTAAGTAGCACTTATATTTTTAGTAAGAAAGTTTTTATCGACAAAAGAATCAACACATAATTCCCTATTGAATGAAATATATAGTTTTCTAGAAAACTGAAGCTGTGAACGCAATCCCTGCAAGATTAAAATGTGAAACACGATCTAATTATTGTTCTTAATCATCTGAAAAGTGTTTCATCTGAGGTATATTGAGATCCATTGCTTTATCGTCCGTTACTTTATACTATATGACTGCAATAAAAAAGTACTCCACATCAGTGAATTAGACCTTAACCATACATGATCGTTGATTCACCCTGCAGGCAGTCTACCATGATCTGTGATATGCAATTAATTAATTAAAATGTCTGTCACCGCCTGTTAGATGGGTCCAAATTTCTATCCTATATGTTTCAACATTGCTTTCAGAGCGTGTTTCACAAAAAAAAATTGTTTGACTTTCATAATGGGAATGAGGAACATGTGAATCAGCTGATCAACCTTTCTGTTAACAATGCCTCCAGATAATAGAACTCATTGGATCTAGATCCAGAAATTCTTGAAATAGATCGGTTCTATAGCACAGAGACATGTTTTATTTCATGTTTCAGTGATTTTTGGATTCTTAATAGCCATAGAAGATTAGACTACTGGATAGAGCTCATCAGGTCCTTTAATGGTGTTGGATTCGAACCCGAATTCGATGAGCTCTACTACCGGGCTTCACAAGGTTTGAACAGTCATCAATGTCTTTGTAAAAAACCAACACTTTTCCATGAGAACTTACCCTTCTTCATCAGGCTTGTGTTAACTTTCTTTTTCACTTTATTCAAAAGCGAATTATGTATTAATTCTTAGTCGAGAAAAAAAAACACTTCCGTACTTGAAAGAGGAGCGTTGTTCACATAAAAGAATAGGCACTTTTTTTTTATTATAACTTCTGTCCAGCTCAGAAGTCAGCATATTAGGAAAATTTATAGAGTAGCATCAAACATAATTTCTGGTAAATTTGTATGCTGCTCATAGACATAGTTTTGATTATACTGGGATAAGACAAAACTCGGAAAATAAGAGAATTGATCCAAATGATCAGATTTTAGCACGATGAAAATTACTGAGTTTTATAGATTCATGAGTATTCCAAGTTCAATAGAAATAACTCGAATAAGTTGATATACAGATATTTTAGTATAATATTATAGTATTCTCAATTGTAGCAGCATTGATCAACTAGTACATAGACCGTTTATTTTCTTCGTACCATTCGACCTCCGATGAGCAAATCATGATAAGAATTTATGTGAGTTTTCATTTCGAACGCAACAGTCGATTCCAATGAGAGTATTTTAACAAATAAACTTTATTTATTGATTTCATATTAATAGAACAATATTCATTTTCAGCAATATAGTTTTGAAGAAAAAAAGAAACGTAGCATGTTAAGAATCATATTCGGTAATATTTCTTTTTCTTCTAGGAAAATTTTTATCTAATATTTAAAGCGAGATTTGATAATTACATCGAATTTTAATCATAAAAATTCACAACAAGAAAAAAAAAACATAAATGAAAAATTATCAAATATTGTAATTCATCAAGAATAAAGTACTTCTATGAAAAACCATATATGTTCGAGAACTCATGTCAGTAATATCATATAAACGGTTCTCAAACAACAAATGATTGATAGAATAGTTGAAATTCAACTATATTTGTTCATCAGAATGTTATATTAATTAATTCGTGTCATGACTATTTTTTGAAATCTATCGATTTTTGCTCTCGTTGAATATGAATTCCTCTAATTAACAAAAAAATTTTTAGATTAACTTATTTAACATCTAAAATATGGCTTATGTATCTTTATTGGTTTTACTTGGACCTTCTAATATATTGGAAGATTTCAATCATAAAGATTTTCTTCATTCATCATTTTTTATTCATTGTGTTTCAGATGATGAATGTAAGAATACACTTGAAAGATATCAAAATAATGTTTTAGAAATGGATATAGTTTTACCAGATACTGCAGTTGATCTTATTCGCACTTATCAAAATCCCATATGTCCACGAAAATCTTTTCATATTTATTGTCAAACCGAACAACGTTTACAAGAGTGTCGACAGTTACACGTATGCAGTAGATATGATTCAGTTTTCAATATGAATATGCTTCAACAGAAACTTGAACGAAGAGCACAGAATCATCTTCTAAGGCATATGGAATATTTGGAAAATCTTAAGGAACAAGGAAATGCAGATGCTGCTGATTCACTTATTTTAATTGGAGAGACATTTGAACAAAATGCAGCAAGAATCAATGAAGAAATTCGACAAAAATCTTCTTTAGGTACACAATCAGATGAACTTGACAACGGATGATTTTTTTTCTTGATCATTTATTTGTATTTTAATACAATTATTTTGTATTAAAAACACTAAGAAATGTATTGAATGAAGGCGAATTAGTCGTATATCGATTCTTTTCATATTTTTTTCTATAAATCTCAATCAAAATTTTTCGAGCAATTCACATAGAACAATACTTCGTTATCGTTTACTGAATGATGGCCAGAATGAAATAGCAAATCACACAAATACGAATCAATCGATGTTTGTCGGAGTGTGGATATTGGTACTGTTTTGTTCCTCAACGACACCTTCACCCACACCCACACTGTTCCAGGGTTCCCGATTGTTTTCGGGAGTGGGAAGGACTAAAATTTTGGCAGAAAGTCTGAAATTTTTTAGAAAGAGGGGGAAAGCCCCTCCTCCCCTAATCGGAAACCCTGACGTGAAATGATTTCAGAGAGAAACTCAATTCAAAACATCGATTCGTACATATTAACGTTTTTTTTGTTTCATTTTCTATTATCTTCTCAGTTAACTATGAGAAATGACATACTACATTGATATTTTTATTTTTATTACATGTTTTATTCATATAGAATAATGTAAAAACTCAATTTTTCAATAAAAATATTCGTTAACTTAAATTAATAATAGAAATTTCTCAGTATAGCAGTAGAAATCGAGATTACATAAAAAAAATCACTTCTATTATCGATATAGTGAAGAATAATAATTGATCATAAAATCACAATTTATTACAAAAATCGTCTATTAATTGCCAATTTTTTCGCAATGTCGAGGACATGAGAAGCATGTTAATGTATTTATTTAATGCATAAAATGTCGCCAGTGGTCATTCAAATCGTAGCATACCTTTTCCATCGATAACATCAATTCTAAAAGTTATTCTTTGTTAAAAATATGCTTGTACTCAAGCTACTAAAAAAAAACTTCATCAATTGTTTCTTGTATTTCCCTTTTTCGTGAAGCTATTAACCCATTGGATCAATCATATCCATGGTCATGTAAACGTTCTCTCTTTTTTTTTTCTTATTCCTGCGTCCAAATGCATGAACAAACGATCGGTCGTCCATTTTTGTCCGTCCGTTTACCATGATAGGCCATATGTTTTTTTTAATGCTGTTCCGTTGTCGATAGCTTGTCTGGCATATTTTATCGTTCGATTTTTTTTTTGTTTCTTCTTCTTCGTAGAGTAACAACAACATTGACAAATATGTTGTATAAAATAAAATCAATCTTTGTCCTAAATTAAAAAGCAAAACAAAACAAAAAAAAGTTTTATCACATAATGGTTTGTTCAATGATTGAATCTTTTTTTTGTTTTCATTGTTTTTTGTCTATTTAAAATAGATCTCAATGACACATGGGACAGCTAAAAATAAACAACAACATTATTATACAAATAATTCTGGAACACCATCATATTCATCATCAAGTACATCATCATCAAATTCATCAGCAGCAGTGGCGTCGTCAACAACAACAACGGCAAATAATGAAAATGAACCTGGAGGTAAAAATGATGAATTTTATTAGAAATTCATTGATTAATATTTTTCTTTTATAGATTTTCTAATTGGTTATGGTGCATTTGGAGTTATATGGGCAGTTACTGATCCACGAACAAGTCGACGTGTTGCATTAAAAAAAATGCCTCATGTTTTTCAATCAGTTGTAGCTGCTAGACGAGCATTTAGAGAAATTAAAATGCTTTGTACATTTCGACATGATAATGTAATTAGAATTTTTTTTTTTTAAATCAAATTATAAATTCATATTTTTTCTTAAGATTCTTCAAGCTGTTGATATTCTTCAACCACCTAGTCAAATAGAAATATTTAATGAAGTGTAAGTTTTTATACAAAAAAAAAAAAAAAAAGAATTGATTTAGAGAGAAAATGATCTTGTTTTAGGTATATTTTAACAGAATTAATGCAGATTGATTTACATAAAATAATTGTTTCACAACAAGCATTATCAATAGATCATTGTAAAGTTTTTCTTTATCAAATACTTCGAGGTAAAAAACAAATTCAATTTATTTTTATAATCGTCGAATTTTTTTGTTTTAGGACTTAAATTTCTTCATTCAGCTGGTGTTATTCATCGAGATCTAAAGGTTATTTTAAATAAAATTGTTCTTTTTTTTTCTCGAATTTCAATTTATTCTATATTTAGCCTGGAAATCTTTTAGTCAATAGCGATTGTTTATTAAAAGTAAATTAAATTATTGATTTTATTTCTTAAAATAAATCTATTCATTTTTTTTTAAATAGATTTGTGATTTTGGTTTAGCTCGAACGGAAGAATTAGATAAAACAAAACGTATGACACAAGAAGTAGTAACACAATATTATCGTGCACCAGAACTATTACTTGGTACTCAACATTATTCATATGCAATTGATGTTTGGAGTGTTGGTTGTATTTTTGCAGAATTACTTGGTAGAAGGATTTTATTTCAAGCATCATCACCTCTTAAACAGGTACATCAAATAATCAAAAGATTTATTTATAAAATGATGATAAGTAAATTTGATAGAGAGTTGCAGCGGATCCCCATTTTTGATTACTAATATGTGACATAATCTGTGTATAAAGCTAACAAGCGAATTGATCCAATTGTAACCTATCGTTTAAACTGATATTGGGCTCATAAGAAGGTTTTGATAAAACTAGAAAAAGTCTAAAGTAGTTCGTTTCCAACGACTTTTAGAGTCGAGTTATAGTTGTTTTACTGAAATTTTAACTAAAAAGAATGTTCCATTGTTGTTATTAAAGATTTTCGAACAATAGTCGTTGGCCATAGACATCTAGTTTACTTGAAAGTCCTTCATCTGGACAAAAAAAAGCATTCTTTTCGATTGAAATTTTCAGAATATTTTAAGGATTATTTGACTTTTCCGTTAATATTTAAAAATGGGACGAATTCTTTAATCTTATTGTTGTCTGCTCTTACCGATCTATTCTCCATTCATCAAAAATTTTCGAATAATTTGTAAATTGTCAAATTAACAATTATACTAATCTCTTCAGCGATAGAAAATCGATGAAATTGTATGTATATAAATAATATCAAATAAGAGCAGTGTTTTATCCGGCGTGAGAGCGGCTTCTCTTCGAAGATCGAGTTCTTCCTCTCGTAGTTTGTGGTTATTGTATCACGTACTGTATCTGTGCTACCAAAAAATAGATGTTCATCCTGGCTAAGTTTTAAATCTTCCCTTCGAAAAAGAAAATACTGAATAAAAATATATTGTGGATTTACCTTTCGTATGTAGAAAAACGTGTTGAACTTTTGTATTATCATACGAAAATGTACACACAATATTAATATGAATTTGTAGTAATGAAACAATGAACGTTCAATCTTCTTCAATTCTTCAACTTTATACTTTTGTTTCCTGGGACGTTTCTCAAATAATTTTCAATAGTTTGCTATTTTGTTTTGAGTGATCAAGACATGGGATAGAAACATTTTTGTGGCAATAGGCATAGTTCTTTGTCATGATGGACGGTAACGGACATTTCCAAAGAACAAAAACAATCTTCTTTACATTGAGTGATAAATCTTTTATTTATCGAAAGTATTCATTTTCATTGAATACAGATTTTAACTTGTATCATGAATATTTGATTTTATTTTTCATCGACTTCTCTGCAAACTAATCGAGATTTAACGTTGAAATATTTCACTGTCGTTATCTTTCATTAAATAAAAACTTAAACTATAGTGAGTATGTATTGTTGTATGCTGGAAATAAGTACATATTCAAGAAGCTGAGTACTATCTCATTCTTGCGGTTACTTTTAAGTTTAGATTTAAGACTCTCGCACGATTCTATAAAGAATCGAATAACAAATCTTTTGAAGATAAGCGAATCTTTCTATTTTCAAACGCCACTAATATAAACAGGAAATGTAGATGACGCCATTATTTATGGCGCACCCGTTATTGTACATGGATTGATATTGCGAATGTTCTATCTCATATTATTTAAAGAGATGCTATCAAATGTACTAATGGTTTATAAGGAATTTTTTAGTCCCTTGATATTAATGCCTAATTTCAGGAATAAAAGGCGGATAGGTATTTTTTTTCACAGCAATGGCTTGAAAAAATTAGCCGAGAATTTTGACTCGAATATCTATGACTTCTGAAAATAACTAAATCTAAAAATCTGAGGCTTCCGTAGTTTTGTGCTTTACTAAATTTCCTTTTTTTTTAAATTGAATAAATCATTAATTAAAATTCGTTTTTCTTTTAGCTTGATTTAATACTAAATTTACTTGGTAGTCCACCATTAGATGAAATTTCATCAGCATGTGATGGTGCTAAATCTTATATATTATCAAAAACTTGGCGTGCACCAAAAGTAAATACACTTTATTCACTATCAAAAAATGTTACACATGAAGCTGCACAACTTCTATTACGAATGTTAACATGGGATCCAAAAAAACGAATTACTATAAATCAAGCACTTGGTAAAATTTAAATCCAAAAACAAAAAAAGGAAAAGATTTTGATAAAATAGAAGATTTTTCTTTTTTGTCTTTTTAGAAAACACTTATATTCATGAAGGACGTATTCGTTATCATTCATGTATGTGTCGTTGTTGTTTTTCAGCATCTAATGGACGACAATATACAGTTAATCTTGAACCTATACGAGGATTTCGATACGATGATTCGGATGAAAATTTTTCTAGTTTACGTCAAGCAAAAGGTATTTATCAATGATTTTATTTCATACAAAGAAAAAAAAAATTATTTTTCATGTTTTTTAGAATATATGCATAAATTATTAACTGAATTTAGTCAAGCAAATACTGTACCACTTAGACTTAATCATGATTCGCCATTATATAAAACATTTGCCACGTAATTATTTGTTTCTATTTGATGATGTTATAATTTTTATTTAAGAAAAAAATCTATATGAACAAAAGAGATTGATTAGAGTTAGTTATGCTGTTTTATTTGAGTTGATCACATTGCCTTTTAATTCTCGTAGGAAAGACTGATGTTCATAAACAAAGATAAGCATTTATGAATTATAAAACTATCCGTGATAAGAATAAATTTGTTCCTATCAGAGAACAATTTGAAAGGATCAATAGCAATCAGAATTTTGTGCTCTTTCAGAAACTAGGTACGAAATTTTTGTGAAAATCATAGAAAATTTATTTCAAATACGTCAAAAGAAAGAACAAACATTTTCCTACAGAACGATATGTTGATTTGTAGTTTTCTGTAAGGCATCTATTATTAATATGGAGAGTTTTGGCAAGAGACACAGTGATATTTTTGGAAAGTTGCTACGAGACCTTTGGTTCATAGAGCACTTTGTGAAGAATAGTTTCGTCACACAAAATTGCTAATAGAACGTAAGTAATAAACGACATCCTTGCTTAGAAGGTCGTCTATTGTCTAATTACTGATCCACAAATATTTTCAAATACGTGATGCAGTCAAGGAAAAAAATTGCTGAAAAACATCATGAAATTAATATTAAATATGTTATACTTCATAATTTCTAATTTATGAATCCCTTCAAAATTCCGAACTTAGTTTTGGAAAAAGCACAAAATTTTGATTCGAACTCAAAGTTTTAAAATTTGCTGTCGCCTTTTTTAGTCAGTCGGGAAATTAAGAAACATTTAGTTTCAAATCTTTCAAGGTATCCATGATTGTTATATTTTTTAATGAGGTTATCATGGTTGAGTGATTACGTTGTTCGACACGTATTCACAGCTATGAAATGATCTTAGACAAGTCACTAACTGCTATATGTCTCGGATCATTCATCCAATAACATGCTAACTACGTTGTGACATACATATACTCTTGTAGTTAGTTAATGTATATGGGGAACCCATATTGTTATTAAGCGTGAGATCTCTATGTTAGGCCGATTTTCGAGGTAGCTAAAAGACAAGGATATTCTTCTTCCTGTTTTTCTAAATTGAAAATAGTAAAGAGAACTTCGCTATGAATATAATCCTAAAGATTTTCATTTCAGAAAAATATGCATTGTTTTGTTGAAGTACTTTTAAGTCTAGAGATCGTTATATGAATGATTTTCTTTAAATAATAAAATTCGAATGAAAACAGTCGTTTTTTAATCATAGTAATATTAAGATTTAACATACTGTGAAACAAAAAAATTAGTTTTTTTTAATGTTTTAGATCACAAGTTGCTCAAGCACATGAACTACCGCCATCACCTGTTGCTTGGGATAAATTTTGATAATGTTTACATTTGCTTTTCTTTCTTCTTTTCTATAATAATCTCAGTTTTCTTTTTCTTTTGTCTATCTCATCTACAATGAGATATGTTTCTTATTTCTTTTCTCTCAAGTATAACTTTCTTATTTCTACTTTCTATTTGTTTTGTGTATAACTATAGAATTATTCGTATATTGTTTATCTCAGAGGACATTGATTTCTCTTCCGTTTTGTTTTTCAATCTTAACTCAGGTGCTGAAAGCAAAATAGCAACCGGTTTTGTATGTTCATTGCTCAAAAACTCATTTTCATTTTCATTTCTTTTTTTTTTCGTTCATATACAATATATACACATCGTTTTTCTTTTTTGACATATTGTGAAATTTTATTTGTATGTCAGATGGGCATGATAATATCAAATATTAGATTAGCATTACTGTTTCTTATCGTTGTTGTTCAAATACTTGTGTCTATCATTATTTATTCATTTCTTTTTCTTTTTTTTGTTTTGTACTTCGTGTACATATATAAAAGAAAGAAAAAAGGAAACAGAGACTTTGTTATTTGTTATTAGGTCATCTTTTTTTTTTTTTTTCTTTGAACAAAAAACATATTTGTATGTAAAGGATGAGAGAAAATATAAATGAAAATAAAAAAATATGTTTATTCTTGTTCATTTGGTAATAGAATCGATTCTTCAAGTGGCCGTAAAGATTTTTTAAGAGTGAATTGTTGATGTTGTTGTGGTCGTGATTGAATAAAAAGTGTATAGAAATTTTTAAATGCTGGTCCTGTCTGAATAGATAAAATAAAAGTATTATTGATGATGAAAAATTGAATTAGTAAGAGATTGATTATACTGGAATAAATAATTCAAATAAAAGTTAATTATGTTTGTTTTTTTTTCTACATACTAGAAGAGCTTGAGCATCGGCTGTAAGACGTTTATTTTCGTTATTTTTTGAAAATTTCATTAAACGTTGTTGATTATAGGTGGTAGAACTATGAAAAATGATTGATAATAAGTTGAAATTGTATTTGTTTAATTTACGTGACGATTGTCGTTGTATCGTCTGTTCGATGAGAACTGAGAACTGATGTTGATCGTTTAGAGTTGAATGAAGGATTAATTTGAAAACGTTGTTTACCACAGGGATCAAAACGATTTTCACGTAAACATTGATTTAAATGAATTTGTCTAAGAAAAGAAAAGAAATACACATATATATGTATTATAATGATAAAACAATATATGATGAATATCTACATATCTCGTTTGAGATCACGAACAAAATGTTGATATTTTATTTCTTCTTTAGTTAATTTTGAAGAACTACTTCGTTTTATAGTTGATGATCGATGTCTTTTTGATGGTCTTTCAGATCTGTTGAATGATCGACTGCTGTTTAGTTTATGTTGTTGTGACGTTGATCGATGTTTTCGAATCTTTCTTACTTTTTTCTTTTGTTCGTCTTCAGTATCTTTCAACATTTTTAATTCAATTATGTTGACAACTGTATGTTATATTTTGTTAAATGAAAAAAAGAAAAAAGAAATCTGGTTTAAAATTAAAAGTAAGTAAAATGCTTTTTATACATTTGTTAATATGTTGACATACTTAAACACATGGTTACTTTATTATGTAGGATTTTTTCGATGAAAGAGATGAGAATGAATAAAAAAAAAAAGAAAAATGTTAATTTCGTTCGATTCTTCTTTTATTTCATTAAGTGGGAAAAAAATGAATTAAAAATTTCTAACTAATTAATGTATTAAAACGAAATATTTTATATAAAGATTTTTTATTAGATGAAATCCTATCATAGGAATTTATAATAAATTTAAATGAAAAAAATTTTCATATAAAAATTGGTCAGGTCAAACAAACACTCATATTAACGATCGTGAGTTGTCATGTATGTAGGATATATTACATAGCTCATTATTACGATCATATTTCTCCGTAGACAATACCAAGAAATGCGATCGTAATACTGAGCCTTATGATACAACAAAAGATGATTGCATACGGTCACTTTCGAGTGTATAAGGATTTCATATTCTTCGTTTTGAGTGATTTGATAAATATTCATAGATCGTTGACAATTAGAGGAAAACAAAAATTTTTCAAGATTGATGAATCATTCCTCGGAACACCTTTGATTAAGTGTTTTGCTTCTTTAATAGAAAATTTGATTGTTGAAAAGAGTTGAACATTAGAAAACTATTTTTATTATGTCAATAAATATGAATTGTAAAAATTAATCCTTTGACGGCGAAGCCTGTAGATTTACATTTGCAGAATTTGAATAGAAGACAAAGTTGAAATATAGTAAAACAAGTCTTTTCAATATTTATTGTGTTCTGACATAGATGTCACTATAAATCTGAGTGCAAGAATTATAATCGTCAATACTTTTCAAAGTATGCCATGTTAACAATATAATTTTGCTTTATTTGTTTCAAAAAATAAGTTCCCCGTTAAAAAAGTTAAAAGTACATTGTGATTTTCTGTTATGAGTATTACTAAATTGAAAATGAGTTCATTTAAGATTTTATACATATTTATTTACTGAAAGAATAAATTGTGAATTGTGTTCTGTTTGATATTTTTGTAACAATTTTCAGTTGTTATTTTTAGAATCTGTTTTTTTTTTGCTTTTTATTATACGTGTATTGACTAAAATCATTTGGGTATGAGTCTGAGCACATTCTCCTTTCTCTCGACGACCTTTAACATACACTGTTAAACTTATAATTCAATTAGATTATACTTTTCTATGTTCATTCTATTTTGACTCTGCTAGATCAATTATACCACGGCTCTACTGATTAACACCCACAATAAGATAGACTAGTTAGAGTCTATAGTGGAAATCTTAAGTTTATAGAACGTTTTGGAAGATTCTAAAAAGTTCTAGAATGATCTACGCATCTGTCCTTACTATCACATGAAATCGAAATCGTTAAATCATCAGATAGATGATACGAAAATTCTAGATATATTTTGAGACATTTTCATTATCGAATTATTGAGATTAAAGACGCCACATATTTCAGTATTACATTTGTAACGAAATCTTTAATCTGAAGAACGAAAAAAAATGAAGACTTCTTGACATAGATTTAAGGATTTTTGTACTTCTCTATGATAATTCAACAATTCCAGTTTTTTGGAACCGTCGAATTCTATAGATTACTATGGCAACGTACTTAGTCATTGTTGGCCTTCTCCAGGGGAGTCCCAAAAACCTCGATTTAAACTTACACTCATTATTTTCTTCCAAAATATATGTGAGTTCTACGAAAAAATATTAGTAAGTTAAATTTATTTTATCTTGGTCTGATGATGAGCCATGTTTTGTTTTATAGCTTTATTTACATAAAACAGAAAAGCTTAACAACATAGTTGTTTTATATTTTATGATTTCGAATTTTTCTTTTTTTCTTGTTTTTCACTTGATTTATTTTGTTTATCATTATTTGATTTATCTTTTTCTTCTTCTTCTTCTTCTTGTTCTTCTTCTTCTTTATTGCTATCTATTTCAACATGTTCCATTGATGATCCAACATCTGTTTTAGCTGGTACAAATTTTGCTTTTGCTGATTGATGATGCCAATCACCTGAACTACTTGATGCACTACCACTATTATCACCATGAAAACCAAGACCTTCATGATGTGTATGTGCAATTTTTGATTGTAAACCTTCCTTAAATTGTTTTTCTAATTCACGTTCAATTGTTTCATTTTCAACTTCTAAAATAGAAAATTAATTTTTTTTTGTTTTTATTTATATGAAATGCAATTATTAAATCAATTAACTTGAGCGAGAATGTTTTTTTTCAGTTGAAACATCATCATTATGATTGCTACCATGTGAATCTTGTCTATTGACTGGAGTTTCATCTTTATGTTTCTAAATAAATAAATAATTTGTTTCTTTCTTTTTTTTATTTTATAAAGAAATAGATTTTATTTAATACCTTTGCACCCATTAAACGAAGAAATTTTTGTTTTCGTTGATCATCACCAAGATCAGCATTTTCCCAATCATTCGCCGTATGAACCTGAACGAGCAATAAGTTTCAATTTGGAAACTACGTTTTGCTGAAAGATTGATATAAAGTGGAATATTCCAAAGCAGAAAAACTTTTTTTTTTTTTTGAAAACTATCTCTTAAATACCTCTTCAGTTGGAACATCATCAGCATCCTTTTCATTGTTATGTTCTTTTTTGGAACGTTTCGGAGACGACGATGATGTTGATGATGATGATGATTTTTTCTTACTTTCTTGTGTCGACATAGTGGTTAAAATGATCGTTTAAAGAAAAACTTTATTTTGATTCTCAGATGGTTGATGAAGTAAGACCAACGAGAAATTATTCTATGAAGATGTCGCTTGTAAACGAAGTCATATCACAAATACTTCAATGTTTCTATTAAATTCTCTCTACGTTAGAACTGATAAGTCTAGAGTATACGTGAGATGCAACATGGATCGCACATCAACACTTCAAGGCGTGGTAATCGCTTTCACTAAAAAGAATTTGGGAAAGCAATACGTTCTAATCACTTCCCTGGAGTAATGAGTTCAGTTTAGGATATTCTGCCACTAGTATGTCAGAGAAACCTTTAGGTAATTAATCTGTTTTAGCACTTGACTATAAAATGTTTCTAAATGTTTAATCTACTAGCTTATTAAAAAATTTTCATAGAATATTATATAGAGACTCGACAGGTACTTGATAAGTACCCATCTGCTAAGACAATTTTCAGCAGGGTGTTCAACCATGATCCTATGATATACTGGTACTAGAGTATCCGAAAAAGTACCCAGCTGACAACTGACCAAGTATACGGGTACCTTGAACTCAGTATATTTACTAATGTAGAAGGATTGATTCATAGTCTCATGGTTTTGTTTTTTGTTATCCTGATCAATACATAATTCACATTTTGATTATTTTGGACGCTCTAAAATTTACCGCTGGATCAAGACCAATAGAGTAATCACGAATCAACTTACATATCTCTAAAACTGACTATATAATATCTGACGACTTTGATCAAAAGAATTGAAGTTTTATTAACGAACATTTAATAAGATTTTTGTTTATTATTAGACCTATGCATATGCAAAAGTTCAGGTCGGAATTCCTTTTTTTTTTTGATCTTCCAGTTAATACCTGAAAATGGATCGAAAAATCAGTAAAACGACCATAACTCACCTGAGAAGGCTCATAGCAATGAGTCCTTTTACACTTTTTCTGGTCTTATCGATACCTGCTCGTAGGCTCAACATGAACTCAAACGGCAGGTTACAGTTGGGGTAGTTCCATCACAAGAGCAATTTTGTGCTTATAAAACAATTGTAATACTCATTTTACCAAGTCGATCATCATTAAAAAAGATCGATGATAAATTATTCATGTCGTCAATGGCAATCAAACCAATTTTACTTTCATTATATAAACGAACTACAAGACATTTTTCTCGATTAATCGATTTCTAACATAATTGTACTAGTTCAATTGAAAACAATTCATACATCATTTCCAACTTTACTTAACTTGATTACTTTTAACGTAGTAGTAGTTTCATAGTTTCTAAACGTAAGAAATCAAAGAACAAAACACCATGGAATAATCTGCACTTAATGTTCGTATTTCGACAAAGGTGCTTATCTTCGATTAGGTATGATTAAAATCAATGTACAAGTAAAAGTTGATTGAAATAGTTCATCAAGTAATCTTGAATTACTATAGATATGTAGACTAATAATCGAGGATGAAATAGCGTACATTTGTACTTGAAGTTAATTTTAGTTATATTGAATTACTTTTCTTTATTTGAAACTACTTCAAAGTTTCAAAATATAACCGTGATGGTACATTTTTGATATTGTGATTGTAGGCCATTTTATTTCTGCTAATCAATAATATGACATAAGAAGTTCGGTATACACTAGACTCAGTTAATCGGATACTCAGTCTTCCATCAGTCTAGGTTCAAGTAAATCGATTCTTAATGACCACGCATACACGATATATATCTTTCTTTTTATACAAAGAAAGATAACAGCAACATTCTTTTCATTCTACAATTGAAATAAAAAGACAAGAAAGTAGAAGTGATTCATTCACTAACATAATTTAATACCACAAAAGACAAGACACTTTGATACTCGAATAGTTTTGTATAATGCCTCCTGAAATAAATATCAATGATGTATATCAAACATTTGCAATGACTTCTAACAAACAAAATCAATATCGAATTCGAAGAATGCTTGAAACTGATATTAAAACAGTAGTTAAAATCGAGCAAGTCACATGGCTTGATGAATCATGGTCTTCTCAACAGGTTTTCGATTGTCTTAATCCTCCACATTGGCAATGTTGGACACTTGAAAGCACTAACAATGATAATTTAATACTTGGATATTGTTTTCAATATATATACAAACATATATCACATATAGCAAATTTATGTATTGATCCTAATCAACGTGGTCATGGTTTAGGTGAAACACTTTTACGTTACATGATAGATTATTCTTGTCTATTTGGTGCTTCTGTTATTAAACTTAAAGTAAATACATCGAATATACCTGCATATAGATTATATGATAAATATGGTTTTCGAATAGTTCAATTTCTTCCTCAATATTATTCTAAACATGCAGATGCTTATCAAATGATACTTCGACTATAAGTCATTTTAATGTATAGTAACATTTATGTCTCACTCTTCATTTATCATTGTAACGTTTTCTTCTCTTTTTTTCGTTCTTTTGTTTATTATAACGAACTAAAAAAATCTGTACATTGGAAAAAATTAACTTAGCTATTGTCAGTATTTACACTAAATATTATTCGAATGACCATATCTCTAAAAATAATACTCTTGAGAAGATCATTGATATTCACAATGCCATAACGAAAATAGAAATGAATGAATGTAAAGATAAAATATATTTGCTTAACATATGCAATATTTCTTTCACTACTGAAATTATAATGATCCTTTAAAATACCATTCTATTTTTGTCTCTATACTATTCATTAATCATATTTTTTGTTAAATGAGAGAACTTCAATAGTGAATTGTTCATAAAAAATCTGAATAATCGATTAATGTTAATTAAAAGAAGATAAACATCAGATGAAAACTTTCATTAAAACAGAATAATTCAGTTTAAATCGACTTAATCAGTGTATTCAAGTGAAGTTTAATTCGATTTATCAAACTTTTTTCCATTCTTGTGTATTTCATTTATTGCTAATTACGAAACTACTCCAACTTTAAATCGTTGTTTGAACTTAATTATGGCCATTTTACTAAGTTTGAAACCCATATTTAGGTATTTATTACTTACACGAACGCTTAAATAATGTTGAAATAGTAAATTAGAACATTATTTTTTGTTGTTTTGTCAATTCTCGCTATTTCCACGAAAAATGAAAATTGAAAAGACATTATTTTTCATTTTCTTTTGTTTTGTTTCTACTCGTTAGCTCAGCCTACAGTTCTAAGAAAAGAATCATCAAAAGTATGATTCTGCATTGTGTTAAGAGAACATAATATAAGACAAGCTGAAAAGACTTTGAGATCTGATCACCTTCTAATCCAAACTCTGGCTACATCACTGATTCATCGGTCTAAAACAGAGCTGACCGTGAATATTCGTCAAGAAGCTCGAGTTAAAGACTATGTTGTGAAAATCATTTGCGTTAATCTAAATCAAACGTCAGAAATATCCTTTCCATCGAAACAAAAGTGGTTTGAATCCACAATAATTTTTATTCGAAAGTGTCATCAATGTAATAAATTCAGGAGAGATTGTTTTGGTATTCGAAGAATATGAGAATCACAATCCATATCACCCATCGATATCCAAAATTCTGAATCGTGTGGAGTTATTGTCGTTACAAATTGAATTCGATGAGCACGTTCATTTCTTGCTATCGGCATCGCTAAGGGCGGTGTTTTATGAGTGATAGTCCATTTCCATGATGTTGTGTTTGATATTGGTTCTCTGGTTAATCTGATTAAATAGGAATGATAGATATTCAATACAAGACCGCCACGAGATGCTGGATGCGGTTGTGATGTGTGAACAAGTCCGAGATAGGTGTTGTTGGTCTCGGAAATGAACATAGATGATCCACGCATGTTGTCCATTGATGGTATTGTGTGCAGCGAACTGTCGTATAATACGGTACTACCTGTTTCTGGATCCACCCATACAAGTTGTAATGCAGGAGATATTTGATAGACAAATAATAACCAATGAGGATGCTTTTTTGGTTTATCATTCACAGATACAGGTATATGCATCCAATTCTTTTGGGCATATGGTGCGTCAAAAAGTGTCCACAATTCGATTGTCTCATCAAATTTAATCAAATCACCATCCATATTATTATCAATCTGATGTTGAAGTAAAATCACTCTAGTCAAAAACAACCGTGGTCTCGAATGTCTTTCAGATGATGTAAGTAAATAGAGTCTATTTCCATCAGTAATCCATCTAGGATCTTCGTGACCACGATGATATGCATTAGGATTGTAATCAAACGAATCTGGAAGTTGCTGATGTACGAGAACTATAACTTGTTTCTTCGATTTTATTATCAATTCACTAGGATTAAATGAACCAATGACGACATTACTAATAGCTGGTTTAAAGAACAATCGAGCTAAAGTAATTAATGTGCCAATCATATCGCCACAGTTTTGTCGAGTAGATTCACGTACAGCAATTAAATATCGATGTGAATTTAAAGGAAATATAGATGGATTCCAATAAGAACATCCAAGAATAGCACCATCATTACTACAGTAACTTTGAATCTTACTTGTGTTCGTCATTGACAATATATCATTTTTTCTATAATTCTTGTAATGTTCAAAATGAATTCTATGTACCGCTGACACTAGACTTGACAGTGGTGTTTGCAGTCGATAATTCATTGCACCATATAAATAAAATATAGAAGATGAGCCAATGACACACAATAAAATAAAGATAAAAATACAAGCTTGCTTTCGCTTATTCACTATGTTTCTCAGCAAACGACGAGATATTTCAAAAACATGTTGTGCTAATGCATCCATATTGTTCTCCTGAATTTGAAATTCATCCAAAGAGAGCAAACTTGAATTGATCGAGAAACTACATTCGAAGAATAAAAAATGGTTTTTTTTACGAAATTCAAAAAGGTTCTTCAGTGCATTCACAGAGAGCAACTCGTTTTTATCAATTCTGTATAAGAGAAAAAAAGCTTCGTACCAAGCTTTTTCCCTAACTAAAAAACAGAAAGTTCTCATAACTATACTCACATTTGTGGTGGCCGTTCACTTCGTCGCACGACACTTCGTCGCAATCATTTCGTCGTACGATCACTTCGTCGCAGAAAAAAAAATTCTTTCGTTCTGTTCGTCACAGAGTAATTACTCTCGTTCTCTTCCTTTCTACTTGTTGTATCTCACTTAATTAATGAATTTTTTTGTACAACCAATTGAAATAAAATAAATGAAAAATTCTATGAAATATGTACAATTAAAATAGACAAATGATAACTCCAACAATAATAACTCTAATTGAGAAAGCGGATCAAAACGAATACTCATATATAATCGCAACAGGTCTAAAGTGAACGATGAATAATTAGATTTGTTACTCGGTTAATCAGTTTTAACGTAATCCAGGCTAAAGATAAATAATAAAATAATATTCTTAAATATGAAGCCAGAAAAAAAAATACATTTCATTTTTCAATATCAACTCTCGCTGCGAACGACTCTTTAATCAAAATGTCTCAAATCGAAAAACTTCTTTCTGTAAAAGGAAAATCAATGATTCATCACGAAGGTTACATCTATACTGTGGAACGTACAACATCGACGAAATTGGTCTTTCGTTGTCAGAATCGAGATAGTAAAGGTAAGTTAACATTTACTATCAGTCAATTAAAACAAAAATTATTGATCTATTAAGCTCGATGTCATACCAATTTATCTATGGACATATTTCTCTCACAACCAACAGCCCACTATCATGCTCCTCAACCTGATCGTATGCCTGCTATTCAATTAAAAAATGAAATTAAAGCTCGCGCCGTAACAACAGATGAATCAACCAGCTCCATTATTCATTCTGCTTTGCGTACGTATCCGTTGAGTGCTGCTGATGAACTTCCAAAAAATGAAGCACTTATGCTAATAATTCGACGACAGCGTACTGTTGAAACAGTCGATGCCGACGGTTGTTTACCAGAAAAATTAAGAAAGACGTATCGCGATGAAGACTTCATCTTGCACGAAGACAAAGATTTAATTATCTTTACAACAAAAACAAATTTATCGATTCTGAAGCAAAATAAACATTGGTTCGCTGATGGAACATTCAAAGTAAGCTATCAATTAAAAGTTTATATCTTTTTTTTTCTAATTTTCTTTGACGTAGGTGTGTCCTGATGATTATTATCAATTATTCCCGTTACACGCGATGATGACTAATGCAATTATCCCTTTCGTCTACGGATTATTAATTGGTAAAAGTGCTCAAGATTACAATTCATTCTTCGAAAAAGTATTAGTACAAGACAATTTTCAACCTGAATCAATTATGACTGATTTCGAAACTGGTACAATCAAATCCGTTAGAGAAATGTTGCCAAACGTTTTACATAAAGGTATTTTGTAATATTGTCAAAAAACAAGTAATCAAAATGTTTGTTATAGGATGTTTCTTTCATTTTTCGCAAGCGATATGACGGCAAGTTCAAGGAAAAGGATTGGTAACAAAATATAGAGAAGATGAGTACTTTCGTTTAAATGTAAAAAAATTGATTGCTCTTGCC